ATGTCTGTCAGCACGTGTATTACGTGACCCCGCTCATTAATATTCGCACTTTGTGTCTCGGAAACGCTTCTTAGGTTCGTAAAGTATTCCCGACAGGTTTTCGATCTATTGCTACTCCGGAAATTATTCGCGAAGCATGAAAAGGCTAAGCCTGTCGAAATCGAGAACGTACCAGAATATATACATATGCGAATATGTGCACGAATAGTACGCCCCTCGCGTAGCACAGCCAACGACCATTTATTTAGGACAACCGTTTAACAAGTAGGCGCGTAAAAGTACGCGAATAAAATAAGTATGTCAAGTGCGTACGCGATTTTTAATTTGTCTAGAAAGAGGAATTTATATAAGCACATCTCTTTCTTTCTCTCTGTATTCATGAAAATATGTTTCGTTCCGCGTACATAAACAAGTCATTAAAATACATTTGCTCAAACAGCATGCGTTTACGCGCTTGCTGTATATATTTATTTTACGTTTCGAATACGAAGGGATCGGCCTCGAAGAGATGGTAGAATTTTTTATAAGAGAAAGAGAGAAAGGGAGAGAAAGGGAAGAAGACTGGAGAGAAGAGAGACTCAAAACAACTTATATTGTAAAATATTTTTCTTCTCCCAAGTCGAATAAGTTTTATTCTATATTATATAGAGTTGCATAAAATTCAAGACCATGTTTATAAAAATATTGTATTGATATTGGAAATTTTGAAAACTTAAATCTCGGTCTTGAATAAATCTTTATAGCAATAATCTCATCTTGTATTGTATTGTCTCGCTTATATTAACAATTTTTATTTAATATTGAATAATAATTTAAAATAATGTTCATAACATAATCCTTATAATAATTTAATTAACATAATCTTTATATAATTTGAGATAATTGTTATTTATGTGTCATTTGTTTACTTCCCAAAATACGATATGTATAAATATATGATGTTAATTTATAAAATGACAATTGCATATAGTAATGCAGACGCAACTCTTACACACACGATCTGAGAATCGCTAAATAATTGTGTAAAATTTTATATTGTTTATTTTATTTATTGTATTAATTGTTTCTAAATTTATTAATATAAATGTTTTTATTTATCGAATAAAATTTTTGAAGTTCGTATAATAGTATATTATTTTCTCATTTCATTTACAAATTAAAATTTCAATTTACAATTAAAAATTTTGTTTCGATCTCTTGTCTCAAAATTCGAGACAAAACAAGACAATATCAAGTGGTATCTCGGGCAATCTTACACAATACATAAGATAGTAAATACATGAAATGCGTGAAGCAAAGAAGAAAATATTAATTTCTCTATCAGTAAAAACTGATCGCATGCACATAACAATAACTAGATGGTCGAATTTTATTTTATCGCACTTTTAACGGGGGAATTTTTATAGAAAATAATAATGTTGAAAGAGGAACATGTTTTATTAGATTATATTGTTGAATTTTCGATACATGTATTCGGCATATATGAATATTTTCAACTTTCTTTTAAATACATTATTGTGATTTGTGTCAGAGATATGATAAAAATGCGCAATCTCAAAGTCAATTCACGATCATTGTCGTACCATGCTTGCAAATTATAGTAATCGGTCGCAGGTCAAGACTGAAAGTCTAGCCGAGCCTATGTAATCTTCGTACTACAATTCGTTTTTTTGTACGCGATATAACGAATACACTGAACCTTCGCATTTGTATGTAACGACGCGGACTGTATCGATTGTGCAACATGCCAGCAGAATCACCCGCAGGAACTGTTAAATGAATTTCACATAATGCAAAACGGACGTCTCAGACTTCCTGGTGAGAGAAGCCTATCTTTTTATAAGTGAACGGCACCATTTATCGTAGTACTCGTCATTGTCATACATATAAATCTCTCAAAAAATCAAATTGAGCACTATGGTCTACTAAATTTAACTACTAAAATTAAAAAATACTGTTACTAAAATTAAAAAATTTATAAACAAATAAAATTGATCTCAGGCTGAGATTTAAGAAGCTCACAGAAGTGGAAAAGATTCGTGAAAATCTAATCCAACGTTGGTAAAATATACGCTATTGAGAATGTGGAGAAATTTGTTACGAGTCTTTACGTATAATAATAATGTTCTACGTTTTATAGACAAAGTAGGAAGAGGGATCGAAAAAGTATTCTATCGACGTATCCGGTAAAAATAAAATTTATAACATGATTTCTCCCTTCAGGAATGCCTTTTGGTGAAAATTCCTTTATGTAGCCCCGAAAGTAAATTTAATTACGAGAAGTCGGCTTTTCTATCTCATCCGTAAAATGATGAATTCAACCTTTTATATTATATCTTCTTTCTAGCGTGCAAATGACTTGCGATGATTACTACTATGTATAAATGCGGAAGGAAAGCGAACCTTCCGTGACGCCAGCTTTATAGATCTTCCTATATTATACGTGTTGTGCGTTTGTGAGTATATCGTACAGTTATGGGAAATTAATGTTCAGTACTTTAGTAATATTACTCGTACTAATAATTCTTCTATCTATTTGGTGCATCTTCTTTTTTAATATATACTTTCTTTTCAAGTTCGTCTTCTTGATACGTTGGGATTTTTAGTAGCTATTGTATTCAAGTTCTCGTTCGATATTTAGCTGTCTGTTATTGATTCCACTTATTTTAAGGACTGTCAAGCAAATTCGATATAACTTGTACTCGAGATTTGCATCTTTGTATCTTTGATCATGTGTTAGCAGCAGAAACCATGTATCGTTCCCGAGGCACAGTGAAAGTAACCAATTCGATTATCTGCGTGAAGACAAAAAAGTCGAAAGGACAGCTGCTTCAGACATCATATTGAAAGAAAGTCAAAGTAATTCCCCATCCTGGCGCCCGGGTAAAGACTCTCTCAGTTTGTCGCCTTACCTACGAAGACCGAGAGAGATTTTGCGTGCACATTTAAATTCAAATTAGTTTTACAAGAAATAAACGTTCGAAGATGCCTCAAACGATTTTTCAATTTTCAAGATTGACTTTCTCGAAAAATAGAGCCTCGTATAAACGCGAAAATTTCCGATTTCATACTCCCTTATATAAAATTATCGTGAATTTTCTGGCTTGTTCCATCGCCAATTATGGAACATATACAATTATAAGACATATACAGGAGCCGATGATAATCAATTCTGATCATCTAACGCGGGAGCATCTCCCGGCAGACATACCGTCGGTGAAAGGCAACCGCGATGCATGCACTTTTCAGGAACGACAATAACCCTGGGGAAGAAAGTCAAAGTGAGATTCCGCAGGTGGCGAAGTGCGAATGCACCAGTTGCGATGCAGGCGAAAATTATTCTCTCAGGTGCATTACGAAATGCGCTTTTCCGTATTGCTGCATCGTGGGATGTATCGTGTGCCACTATAAGATGAGAAAGGCATTTCTTCAAGTTCTGGGAAACAAGTTGTAAGATTATTTTATATGTAATTTACAGCAACATGTTAATTTGTTTCAACACAAATACCGCCAATTCTGCTGTTTTGTATCAAATTCATGCAACAATGCAATGAGAGAAAAAAAGAGAAAGAGCTGCATGCAAATAATAAATATAAATAAATTTAAAGGAATTGGGCTCTATATGTATTTAAACAACACGATAAGAAACTAGCGAATAAGAGCCAACGCGGATGGTAATGCGTAAATTTTAATTGTTCGCGAAAATTTAAACGTGCACGAGACATATGCATATGTTTTACTTGGTGCATTTACCAAGATATAGATTCTATTCTATTCTAATAAATATAAAATTATTAATGGAATCAGAATGGAATTATTAAATGAATATAATTTTTGCTAATCTTATGCCGGAAAGATCATGATTTTGAACAATTTTGAAGAAAAATTATTAAAACAAAAAATCATTTTATTTCTAAATGCTTTTATCAAACATTTTTTATCAAACAATAAAATTAAATTAAATTAATAAAATAAAATTAAATTAATAAAATTAAGTTAATAAAATTAAATTAAAATTAAAATAATAAATATGATTGTATATTTCTGTGTGTATGTTTCTTCTAAAATTATAATATTGTAATCAGCGATGTAAAATATTGTAGAAAGTCCAATCCCCCCCGGTAGTAATCACTTTAAAAGACTCTGATAATAATTAGCGAGAAAGTGATCGCTGGTTGTGTATCGTGTATGTTGCATGTCATCGAATATTGGCTGGTTACACATCAGCGTTTACATCCGTCATATACATTAACATTAAATTTACCAATTTGATAACTTTTTTGCATCTAATTTTTTTTGTACATCTTTTTTATAATTCTTGTGATCTTTTAATCATAAATTTGGAAAATTAATCATCAATTTTGCTAATTAATTCTCCAAAAATTACAAAAGCATTTTTTTGTACCAAGATTTTTTAACTATTTTTGAGGGATACTTTTTATATAAATTCCATTGATTATAGTACATTCTATATTTTATGTTAATTATGCAATTATGAGTTTAATATTTACATATAAATAAATGTAACTTTTTCTCTACAAATTTTCTTTCTCTCTTTCTCTCCCTTTCTTTTTATTACTTTTTTAATCATTTTCAGATATAAATTATATTTATGATTAAGAGACCAGGCAATAAAAAATTTAAACTATTTTGATTGTAAGAGAAGAGCAAAGAGCAGTTTTATATCCATCAAAGAGATATTTTGAACTTGCTTTATCATTTATATTAAAATTCAGAATTATATTACTATATACTATATAATAATTATATTAATGTTGCTACATTGCTCATCGCCCCGCATTCACTGTGAAGCATGAACGAGGAAATCCCCTCCTAACTGAAGATGTACACGAAGAGTCGAGACCCCCGTATGGCACCGTGGCACTCTTTGTATCCCTTCTCAAAATACCTGCGTGTCTAGAGTATCTAGGCGTCTAGATAGAGGAGCACTAGCTATAAAAGCCTCGAATGTCATGATGAATTCGTCAGAAGAGTGAAGAACCGTAAAAAAAGACGGCAGTCGTTGCCATCTTTTTCACCTACGATGGGCCACACGGTTCCCTTTCGAGGAAATATGCAGTTCATTCTGGTCAGTGTTCATCTCTCGCCGTGCTTTCATTTCTCATGTCTTAACCGTGTGTCAGTGCGCCTGTGATATATGTGAGATTTCGAATGGGGAAGTGACATTATCATATAACATCGTGTGGAGCAATTGTTCGATTTAGATTCTGCTGAACATATCGAACGGTGCGATGCACGATACTCAGCTTGTGCGCGTTTTGTCTCTTTGATTATAATTTAATCAATTGAAATATATTTCCTCGATAACAAATTAAGATTTATTAACTTCTTACATCGCTCTCTGACTCTCTTCTTTTATTTTGATATTATGTATAATAATGATAACATTTTCCTAATATTATATTTAGAACAATTTTAAGAAACTTGATGTTTTAGATAGAGTTGGTGCTTTTATAAATATTTATATGTAAAATATTATAGGTAAAAGATATTTATAATACATTATTTTAAATACATAATAATTAAGAAACGAGCAATCTTTATATAGATAAACATTATTGTAAAGAAATAATATTGGATTGCTATCTCTACAGAAAACTTTATATTTCGTGAAAGCAATGTTTACTGATAAAGCGTAATTCTATGTCATTTTTATATTAGTGGCACATACAAAGAATAATATATCATATTAGATACGATGACTTTGTACGAAACAGTAGCGTTACATTAACGTAAATGATCATAAATGAGCCGGTAAATCACTGCAATTTTCTAACAGCAATTGTTATAAGCGAGCATTCTTGTCACTTTTCCCTCGCCGCGAAATGGAAAGTCGTGCAAGCAGGAGGCACATATAAATATACATTGTGGAATTGCATTAAATGTCATGTGTAAAATTTGATAAAATCGATGCAGTACAAGTTAATGATATGACAGATTTTTAAAAGCCATATTTTTATTTTTTAAAACGAACATTTTATTTATTACAGAATGAAATTGTAATACTTTAAACAAATTGAAAGCAGGCTATTTAGAACCTTTAAATAATGCAGTAATTATAACGCAATAATAAAATTATAATTTCCTATGAAAATAAAATAAAATTAACATCACAGATGTTTCGCTTCAATTTGGATTCTTTTAATAAAATAAAAAATTAAATAAATATTAAATTAATTTAACATTTTTTTACAATAAATTACATGTGATGAACAAGATATAAACAATAATAATAAAATTTAAAAGACTGCTGTACAAGTCAAACTTTAAAACTGTAAATTATATATAAATCTTCGTAATATTTTAAATTTTATTATTTTAAAGATATCTCAATATTTAATCAAAACAACACATATACAGATAATTCTTATTTGAATTCCCTCACAGAAAATCGGAAATATCTATAGCATATTATTAGCTAGATAGAACGATAATAATAAAGCAAATTAATCATCGGGTAATTTTCACTTGTCAATGTTAATATAAAACAGAATAATGTAGGAGATAATAAAATGATCATATAAAGTCGTATTAAAACGAAAGTAAGCCGAGGCCATTATTAGTATGTAGATAATATGCAAACAATTATTATTGTTATGTTAATCTGAGAAGAGTAAATCTATGCCGTTTAATCAGTATAATGATGTGTAATTACTGAAATTTCTGTTGATGTTACTGCAACACCCGGCGCAACGGAAGAAAGCGTTTCCGCAGAAATCTCGAGATTTTTGATATTGCAATTGATTTGAATATATTAAAATATTTGGATAATAATCTCTAAATGTCCAGTTTAATAATTACATAAATACGGAAATGTGTTTAGAACTGCACGATTACGATCATCGTTAAGTCATAAACAATCAAATATCTCAACTGCTTTAATATTTATGTAGCTATAATTTTTTCAGAGACTTAATATAAATTTTTATTTATAAATTCTCCGATTTATATCGGAAACTAATTTCTTTTGTAGATCAAAAATATCGAATAAAGTTACTTTATTCTCTTTTGTAAATCAAAAATATCGAATAAAGTTATTTTATTTGTCACAATCATTTGTAATTTTCTTTAAATATTTTTATGATTCATTCTCAAATTCGTTTTCAAGTTTATTTCTTATTATTTTTTCGATTGTTTATAATCTAAAAATCACCAATCTTTCGTCACTTACATTAAAAAAGATTCGATATTAAATGTATCAAAACAAAAATTCGTAAAATGACAAGGTACGTCTATAATACTTTATGCATCCAAATATATTTAAATTATAAATAGTCAGATCCCAAAATAATTCTCGTAAAAGAGAAAAAGAGAGAGAGAGAGAGAGAGAGGGAAAGTGAAGTAGGACGTCTAAAATACGATATTAAAATAAACGACATCACATCGCCGCAAGGTTGGATCAACAGGTACCGCCTAAGGGTAATACTCCGCGAAAAAAAAGAATTTCGACGGGGCCCACTTTCCAGTCGGAACAAATTTCACGGTCCCCCGATGACCCCTTCAGGAAGCGTGAAGAACATGAAGTGGAAGGGGGGGGAAGGGGTCGACCTAATTCGCGCCGGTGTTTACGTCGTCCGCGAGATCAATACTTTCGTTTTTGAGAGACGCGCTTGTAAGTTGGTAAATGCGTAGAAATTTGCAGATTTCCGTCTCTCGGAAGGTCAGCTTGCATAGTGAAAAGTCGGCGAGAAATTGATGGCCGGAAATCATGCGAATATACGATAATTATGAAGCCGTGTGACATATTTAAGAGAAAAAGTGATTAATGCGGCAAGGGTGTCTTTCTTTTCGCACGGTTAATCGTATAATCAGTATTTACTAACGATCTTTTATATGTAAATGTATTCGAGATAATGATCATTTTCAGAAATCCATATTGTAAATAATCATCATAATTATTATTTTATTATTCCTTGACAATAAATTGGATTATTTATTGTGCAAATATATATTCGCAAAACTAATAAAAAAAATTCTTTCAGACAATATTGTATGGCCTCTTTGTTATCTCCGCGTTTGGAGACCCGATTAGAACAAAGAGAGAGTAAGTATATAAATAATTAGACATTAATATAAAATGTTTTTAAAAATGTATTTTTTTTAATAATTTTTTTTATTTGATAAAAAATAAATAAATAAAATTGATAATAATAAATGGTAAACTTAAAATGTATGTATTATGATAACTAATGATAGATTAATATTAATTATTTTTACTTAAAAAATAAATAGCGATTAAAAAAGTTTTGAAAAAAGGCAAGTAATAAAACTTTTCTTCTTCTTTTATAATATAATATAAAATATGTGTAAGTATTTTTTGTATACATAATTTTAGTTTTACTGAAATTTTTATTAAAATTTGCTATATTTAAACGTATACAATATGCTATTGTCTCATATTTTATTGAGAAAATATTTACTTACAGAATAACATTTTTTCTCATACCTCTCTTCTTTTCGAAAATTTCTCAATTTATATAAAAATATTTAATATTCAGTCAGATTAAAAACATTTTATTGATTAAATTGCGGCGGGTTATAACTCTTATACAACCTAATCTCTTCTACTCTAACGGAAATAAATACTGTAGGCCACCCATAAGTTCGCAATATGGCGCACCACCAGCAACGTCTTATGGATCACCGAACGTAGGGCCATCCGATTCTTATGGTCCACCATCACAATCTTACGGTGCACCACCTCCGCCACCATCATCGTCTTATGGTGCGCCACCATCGTCATCATATGGCGTTCCATCCGCGCCTTCCTCGTCTTACGGTGCACCATCCGCACCTTCGTCGTCTTATGGTGCACCATCCGCGCCATCGTCATCGTATGGCGCCCCATCCGTGCCTTCGTCGTCTTATGGTGCACCATCGTCGTCTTATGGCGCGCCTTCTCAGAGCTATGGCGCACCGTCCGGTCATGGTTCCTTCGGCGGTGATCATGGCGGAGGATCATTTGGCGGTGATCATGGTGGAGGATCATTTGGCGGTGATCATGGCGGAGGATCTTATGGTGGTGATCATGGTGGAGGATCCTTTGGTGGTGATCATGGCGGGGGATCATTTGGAGGTGATCATGGCGGAGGATCATTTGGAGGTGATCATGGCGGAGGATCTTATGGTGGTGATCATGGCGGAGGATCTTATGGCGGTGATCATGGCGGAGGATCATTTGGCGGGGATCACGGCGGAGGATCCTTTGGTGATGATCATGGATCCATCGGAGGAGGAGGGGGAGGTGATTCATTCGGTGGTGATCATGGCGGAGGATCATTTGGCGGTGATCATGGATCGAGCGGTTATGGCGGTAGTAGCGATATTGGATCGTCTTCCGGATCCTACGGACCACCTTCGGACTCTTATGGACCACCGGCGCATGATCAGCCAAAAGGTGTATGGAAAAAGAAATTGGTATGGAAACCCGAGTGGAAACAAATCTGGAAAACAGAATCTAAAATGACTTGGAAACAAGTATGGAAAAAAGTTCAGGTGCCAGTTTGGAAGGAAGTTCAAGTGCCTGCCTGGAAAGAAATCAAAGTACCCGCCTGGAAGAAGGTGCAGAAACCCATCTGGAAGGAGATACAAGTTCCAATTTGGAAAGAAGTCCAAGTGCCAGCTTGGAAAAAAGTCTGGAAACCTGTTTGGAAGGAAGTCCAGATTCCTGTGTGGAAGGAAGTCCAAGTACCTGATTGGAAAAAGATCTGGGTGCCGGAATGGATTAAGGTCGGTATACCGGGCGAGCAGTACGTGGGTAAAGACCACCACGGTTGGCAGTATACTAGTCATGGTCTCTGGAAGAAAAAATTGATATGGAAGCCAGTCTGGAAGAAGATCTGGAGGACGGAGAAGAAGCAAATATGGGTGAGTGACAAGAAATTGGAATGGAAAGCCGAATGGAAGCAAATCTGGAAAACGGAGAAAAAGCAAGTCTGGGTAACGGATAAAAAGCTGATTTGGCAGGAGGAGTCAGTGCAAGTGTGGGTACCACAGAAGAAACAGATCTGGGTCACTCAAAAGAAACAGGTGTGGAAAGACGAGTGGAAAAGCAAGTGGGTTCCGGTTTGGAAAGACGTGCAGGTGCCGGCTTGGAAGAAGATCTGGAAGCCCGTCTGGGAGAAAGTATGGGTTCCGATTGAATCCCACCATGACGAAGGTCATCATGGTTACAAATAGAGGGTCGTGTTCGGCCGGCTCAATCTTCTTTTTACGACTATCTTGCGAGATGCGCAGAGATCGAAAGGTCAACTCGGAAAATTATCTGGGAATTGTCGGCGCAAGAAAGTCTGTCAAACTTTATAGTCTTGTGATAATGGATTATACTTGCCGATATAGACATACATTTCAAAGAAAGAAGGAGAAAAGCTCATCAATAAATTCATATGACAAAGAGAAAAGTAAAGCCTGCAATTAACACGTTAGAAAGCATCATGACAAGCGATGAAATACGCACGAAAATAAATGGTAAAAATTTTCAATCGGTCATCTTGATGATAATGTAATGAATTGTATATCTTTCGATTTTATGTAAAATATTACACGAAAATAAGAAATCAGAATAATCGGCGAATAATCATCAAGATATTATTGTACCAAATATGAAAATGTTAGTTTAAAAAATATTACTTATATACTCTCACTTATATTTCTCGAAATTACATGTATTATTATTACATATACTATGTCTCGAAAAAAAGCAAGGCACTAATAATTGATCTTTGTCAAATCTTAGTCAAATAAATTCATAACGACAAGATTAAATTTAAAAAAAATCAGATATTTTATTAAGTTAAGTTTTAAAGCCAATTGTTATTATAGAAATTATATTATGTTCAATTATTTATCATGAAAAACTTTATGCAATCGATATTATTGGGGAAAATATTTACCTTTTAAGATAATTAATTAATTTTGTTTTATTTTAGTAACTCAATATCTCAATCTCAAATTAAATCACAGCGAACATAAAAGTTATACATGTAAGAGTTATATCTTTTGTTCACTTTTTCCAGAGTGGATCACTTACATTGAATAGTATCGTCCAACATTTGTCTATAGATGAGGCTTCTTAATATAACATATATTAATACTGTACGTAATTAATTCGTTAATTTGTAAATATTGTTCGATTGCCGAGATGCATGCATGTTTTAATACTTTTTTATACGTTAATAAATATTATTTTTATGCTACTCTCTAGATTAGTATAATCTCCATCTTTTTATGATTATTTCCTTTTCATTGTCTGCAATATTGAAATCAATTTTTAAAAATGAAAAGTGCATAAAAACATTACAAGAATGTAATAATTTTTTTTAAATTTAAGCATGTAACAACAATTTATCTTTATTTATTTATATAGTTAAAATAGAGTCTCTCTATGTTTTTCATTTTAAAAAGAGTTTTTCTTATAGAATTATCCAGATAAATTCAATAAAATAATGTATTAATTATATTTAATTCATAAGATTTCATTAAAAAAGGTATAAATTTTTATTTTGGATAAAAGTTTTTTAATTAGTATAATTAGTAAAATAAAATAATATTTATTAGTATAATAATATAATAAAATTTAGTACATCTGTTTCGTTTTGCCAAAAATTAAATAAAACATTAAATAACACATTTTTTTAGCATAATAAACTGTATAACTTATTGATTTTAAAAATGATTTTAATATTACGAAATATTATTTAATATTATGAATTATGAAATATCGTTTCATATTATGAATCATGAAATATATAATATATGAAATATATATATAATAATATTCTAAAAAATATTAGTATTAATTGATAGAGATATCAGTGTCAAAGTTATACAGCAACGTTTAATTTTATCAATTGCATATACATAAAAAATATTATTTATATTATTGATTTTATTTTATAAAATATCAATAATAATAAGTTTTCGTAAGTACAAGTTACATTTACTAAATCATCATGGTTTCCTCGGAAAGAATGATTTCTTTCCGTCTGTCTAAATTTCCATAAAACACAAACAAAAGACGCAAAATTTGTTCTTTAATTTTATAATTGAAACAATGTATTATATATTCGCACATTTCCTGACAGTTCAACAAATCTGATGTAGTCTAAGACTTGAAAAAAAATCTAATTGCGAAAAATACTTTAAAAACGTGTGACGATCATCGATCATAGTGATCGTGCGTTTGAAAGTGTCTGTTCATGTTTTCCGGGACATTTATCGAGATGTCGTGAACTCACTCGTTCGTGCAACCATTAATTCGCATTAGATGAAAGTACGATGGCTTTCATACGAAGATGCGCTGTGCAACATCGGGAAGGGAAACAGAGAGACGATGATGAGGCGGAGAGGGAAGGGAGACAAACGATGCTTTCTAAGGATAAGAGAATTGAGTGAGCAAGCGTGTCTCAGGGTCTTCAGGGTCGCGAGACGAACTCACGACCTTTACTTTCTCCATGATCGTGCGGCAACATGTGTGGGGGCGATATGTGAAGCTGTAAAAAAAAAAGAGAATATGTAATCAGAATGGAAGAGAAGACATCGACCGGAAGTCATATGGCTGGTAAATCTCCCATGGCAGTTTAATGAGGATTTGTGCAAACTCGAAAGCTACTCGAAAGAAATGTCAAAGTACTTTCGACTCGGACAAAAGATTATCGATCAATCTGTTATGTTTTTCTCTTCCGGCAGCTTTCGATTTTTTAGATCGCCCGAAATTATTCGTTGAGAAATATAAGCAATATGCAATCATTATTTTGACGATGTAGTTTAACAATTATTCTCAATTATTTTTTTGCATAAACAATGCAAGAGATTTCTATTTCTGCGATAAATGTTTAATTTTCAAATTATTAAGCATAGATCAAAAATATGAAATTTTTTAATGGAAATATTTCTATTGTTTAAGTTAAATTAAGTTGAATTTAAAATTAAAAATTTTAAATTACATTTGTTGTATACGAATTTTAAATTGTATTTAAAAAAAAAATATCATAATAAAACATAAATGTATTTAAAAAAAAAGAAACTTAAGGAAAGAGAGAAAGATTGTAATAAATGAGCTTTCTCAACAATTTCGCTTAGAAACAACCGTATTTACTTTTGAAAAAGGAACTCTCATTTTTCGGCGATCTAGCGAAAGCGTAGTCATCTAATAAAAAGTAAAAGCGACAAGAGTTTTTATAGCGGAGTTACGCCGGGAGACAATGTCGAAATCGGTGATGCGGGGATGCGTACCTGGTTCCCGCAGATGATCTTACCTTCCTCATTACCTCGACCTTAATTACAAACGTTCCGGCAGTCTCTCTTCCTTCCTCGTCGGGCATAAACTCGCTTTCGTGCCTTTCGCCCGCAGCTGCCGGCAAAAGCCTCGAGCGGATTCTCACAAGCCGGGCTCTCCATTAGCATATAATGACGCGAATGTTAAGCTTGAGGAAAAGCTCCGGTTAACAGATTCGTAAGATCTTGTCCGGAGAGTGAAAGTACTCTCGTACTAGTTGGACCACGGGTATATATCTCGCGGAGGTTACACCACAGCAGCAGATCACGTCTACGATACATCGATGTACAAAAGGATATAAATCTGCGCCCAAGAGAGAAAGAAAGAGAGAGAGAGAGAGAAAGAGAGAGAGAGAGAGAGAGAGAGAGAGAGACAAACGGAACATTAATCTTTTTCAACATATTTTTTCTAGAAAACATCTCACACTCGTAACATTTGAATTAAAAAAAATTAGATAGCGTTGGAAATGTATTATTCAATAAGCCGGATAATGGACTTTAAACTTGGTGGATTCTTCAGGCTGTCCAATCGATTATACGCTGATCATGTTAGACCAATGAAGCATAAATCAGCCGTCAACGATGGGAAGAGAATTGAATTGTAAATTTGTCGATAAATGCAGGAAGCGACAATCTTTTAATTAAAATTCCTCGCAGCTCATAAAATGACAATGATTCGTCGCACTAACAACCCGTTTCATACTAAAAACTCCGAGAAGACTTATATCGTTTTAATAGATTCATAAATTCGATTACGTTAAAGCCGATGTATCCGCATTAATTTTTGCGAGCGCATAATAAATCAAATTAATATGTCAAGAGGTGCAGTAGTATCTTCTAATTAGGACGATCCAACGAAAAGAGTTACCTGGATAATTCGTTTTAAAAGGCATTTCAGCCTTGATATATTAACCTTGACCCTGTTTTAATTCGCGTGCTTCTGGTATTACATTATCAATATTATAAATGAGATTAATTCTATCTATAAAATATAACATAAATCGAATACTTTCGTGTAACAGATAATTACACGCCTATACTCATGTCCGCCCATGTCTGCGGGAAGTATCTGATTCACGTTTGGAAAGTGAAATTCGTTCGAATCTGCGATCGGCGAAGCGTTATCTAGGTGAAATTACACGCCTAATGACCAGTGTCGTAAGGAATTATTACCGCGTATGATTCTGTCACTCGTAATATCCTTAATATGCGCAATACGAGTATATATTTTTGCGTCTTATAAATAATCAAAGAAGTTCATGATTGGAATTTTTATAAATTAATTAAATATTAAATTAATTTAATTAATTATTATTTAATTAATTATTATGCTTAATTTATGCTGAGAGATTCTATGCTGATTAATATTTAATTTATATTTAATATTTAATTAATTTATAAAAATTAATATTTAATATTTAATTAATTTATAAAATTAATTAAATATTAATAATTAATTAAATATTAAATATTAATTTTTATAAATTAATTAAATATTAAATATAAATTAAATATTAATCAGCATAGAATCTCTCAGCATAAATTAAGCAGAAATTTATTAAAAAATTGCAGTCACTTCGTAAAACGACATTTTTGCTATGTCTCTTTTTTATGCTTCACAGTGCATAACTTCTCATAAAATTACTCGTCTTATAAAATTAGACAATTAGATGTCTTTCTTTTTCAGGAAGGTGGTGTTATTTTGAAGAGATTTCCTTTAAGTATGTGTTAATTTTGTTCATCCAATCGGAAATTCCTCTAAAGAAAAATATCTTTTTGTTTTATTTTGTTAAGAAGATAAATTATATTTATTTTAAATATTATTATTATCTTGGTACATTATTACCATAAGTTTAATTGATTCATCCATTTTTCATATCTAATATGTCGCATTTCCTTAAATTTTCAAAAATGATTGATTTTTTAAATTTTTTATTCAAAAATGCATTTGCTGGTGTATTTATTGCATCTTGCAATTTTATTTTAGATGTCGTTTTACTTTATTATAAAGAGTATAAAAAAACAAAAATTTTTACATAAGTATAAAAATATATTAAATAATTAAAATAATTATAAATAACTTTTGATCTTTTGAATCCAATTTTTCTTTTCATCGATTATATTTACATTATGAACTAATTTAAATAAATTAGAAGAAAGCAATCATGAAGAAATGAAGGAAGGTTTGATGAAGTTAATAATATGCCTTTGTATAAAAACTCTCTTGAATATCTAGAAAATTACCGAATTAGTGCATGTATTTGATTAAATTTTACGGAATGGAGAGAAATTTAATGGAATATAGCTTTAATTATTTAAAAAATGAAATGAGAAATAAAAGACAAAATATAAATCATCTCGTAAAATATTCATCTTGTCTTTTATGTTTTTATTATTGTTAGAATGGCAAGTAAAAAAAAAAAAATATATATATATATATAT